GGGTATGAGGTGGTTGGTGATAACAGTAATGCTACCAAGGATAACCATACTGTTCCTAATGCTTTGACTTCTAGGCGAGTTGGAAGTGTGCCTAGTTTTGCCAAGCAGTATTCTCCTCGAACTATAGATGAGGTAAAGGATCTTCATGAGGTTTTGCCAACATCAAAGTCGGCACTGGCCAGCTCAATAGACATTCTATATCAGAAATTTGATGAAGAAAAGACAAATGCTCCCGTGCATGACAAACCTGAACTGGATTTGTGCTCTGAGAATCTTGAAGAAAGCAAACCACATGAGTCTCACTTGACTGATTCTGGGAAAGAAAAATCTGAAGAATGTGTTGGCAATGATGAAAAATGCAGCCCAGTTCCTGGCAATCCTGAAATTAGTGTGTTTCAAGAAAACCTGGAACCAGTCCATTCTGATGGTGATGGTGATGTTAATGAAAACCCTGAAGAATGCCAAGGTAGATTTTCTGTTGTTGATCAAGGCATAGAATCGTCATCAAATGAACGTCTTAACTTGGAGGCATCCACCACAAAGGCTCCTGATTCTGATGTTGATACCCATGATATTGCTGGTATCCAGTTATCTTCTGAACATGCTATTAAATGTGATTCCTTGGGTGAGGAAAATGATGATTCTAAGGAGAAGTTTACGCCAAACAAATTCACTTCTGAAGATGATGACTTTATCACTAAAGAGCTGCTCATGCAGGAATTAGAATCAGCTTTAAATAGTATCTCTGATTTGGAGACAGCTGCACTGGAATCTCCCAAAGATGAGGCATATGTTGAAACCAGATCTGAATATAAAATGAAAAAATCACATAGCTTGGATGATATTACTGAATCAGTCGCCAGTGAATTTTTAAGCATGATAGGTGCGGACCATAGCCCATTTGGTTTGAGTTCTGAAAGTGAATCCGAGTCCCCAAGAGAGCGCCTTTTAAGGCAATTTGAGAAGGAGGCTCTAGCCGAGGGTTTTTCTTTATTTGATTTTGAAATGGGTGATGATGAAGTTGAAGTTGACTATAATGCTCCTGTTGGATCTGAGCAGTGGAACTTCTCTGAGGGCTGCAGATCTTCATCACCGTTCCAAGATCTGCTGCAGGAGGTGCATCCAACCGAGACACAGGATGTGAGGAGCAAACAGAGGGCTCAGATGGTAGAAGACTTGGAAACAGAAGCCTTGATGCGTGAGTGGGGTTTGAATGAGGATGCCTTCAAGAATTCTCCACCGAAAGACCCTACTGGTTTTGGAAGTCCCATCCACTCATCACCTGAAGAACCTCTTACTTTGCCTCCTCTTGCAGAAGGTTTAGGTCCTTTTCTTCAGACAAAGGATGGGGGATTTTTACGAACCATGGATCCCTCACTTTTCAGGAATGCTAAAAGTGGTGGAAGCTTGATTATGCAAGTATCCAATCCTGTCGTGGTACCTGCAGAAATGGGTTCTGGTGTAACGGAGATTTTGCAGCGTCTGGCTTCACTGGGAATTGAAAAGCTCTCAATGCAGGCGAATAAGTTAATGCCTCTGGAGGACATCACAGGGAAAACAATGCAGCAAGTGGCTTGGGAAGCTATGCCTCTCTTGGAGGGAACAGAGAGGTTTGTCAATCATGTTTCAATCAATTTGTTACAATTAGAATTCTTACAGAGCCGTTTCTTCATGCATGTTTCATTTATTGAATGCTGCTTCATCTATGTAGGCAATGTCCCTCGCAGCATGATTTGGTGGCAGGGCAAGATACTAGTTCTGCACAGAGGGGCTCGAAAGGAACATCATCGGGACCAAAGACTGCAAAGTCTAATACAAGTTCATTAGGCAATCAAACAAGTTCAGAATTCGCTTCATTGGAAGATCTTGCTCCACTGGCTATGGATAAAATTGAAGCACTTTCAATGGAGGGTTTGAGAATACAGTCTGGGATGTCTGACCAGGATGCACCATCAAACATCATTGCACAATCCATTGGGGATGTTTCAGCTCTCCAGGGCAGGGGGGCTGATATCAGTGGGTCTCTTGGCCTGGATGGAGCTGCAGGTTTGCAGTTGTTGGATCTAAAGGACAGCAGTGATGGCGTTGAATCTGTTGATGGGATAATGGGCCTATCGTTAACTCTGGATGAATGGATGAGGTTGGATTCTGGTGATATTGATGATATAGAGAATATCAGTGATCATACTTCTAAACTTCTTGCTGCTCATCATGCAAACTCCTTTGACTTCATTCGTGGGACCTCTAAGGGAGAGAAGAAAAGAGGCAAAGGCCATGGCAGAAAGTGTGGTTTATTGGGAAATAATTTTACAGTAGCTTTGATGGTGCAACTGCGTGATCCTCTGCGCGACTATGAGCCTGTTGGAACACCAATGCTTGCTCTGATACAAGTTGAGAGGGTGTTTGTCCCACCAAAGCCAAGAATTTACTGCAATGTGTCCGAGATAAGGAACAATAATGACGAAGATGATGAGCGTGAAACTAGCGCCAAGTTGGAGTCAAAGGATGACAAGGAAGAAGAGAAAATCTCTGAAGAGGAGGGCATTCCTCAGTTTAAAATAACTGAAGTCCATGTTGCTGGTCTGTCAACCGAACCTGAGCCCCGCAAGAAGAAGCTTTGGGGTACTTCAACCAATGAAAAGTCTGGCTCCCGTTGGCTACTTGCCAATGGAATGGGGAAGAGCAATAAGCATCCGATAATGAAGTCAAAAGTTGCATCCAAATCTGGTGCTTTCTCTACAACAAAAGTGCAACCTGGTGATACATTGTGGAGCATATCATCTCGTGTTTATGGTTCGGGATCAAAATGGAAGGAATTGGCAGCTGTAAATCCGCATATCAGAAACCCCAACGTCATTATATCAGATAAAACCATTAGATTGAAGTGAATCTGCATTTCGGATTTTTCTTGGTTAGGTCCTATCCTTGTCAGATCACGAATAAAGCAACCTTCCCTTGAAAAATTACAAGACTAATTGAGATATGAGGGATGTAGACAGAAGTAAATCAGAATTAGGCTCATTTTTGTTCCATAGAACCGTTTGTAAGATTCCTTTGTCTGCATCTGCTGTATTTATGTCCTCCGAAAGGAGCGTGTGTATATTTTATACACATTGGCTAAATTATATTGCTTTGAAAAGAAAGTCCAATGCGCAGTGTAAAGGAAGTGTTTGAATGAGCTCATAGTATCAAGCCTTTTTCTGCTTTCTTTTTATTCCTTTCTTGGTTTTGGAAAGCTAGGCTTCTTGATCTTGGGGGAAAAGTATGCTTCTCCATGATACAGCGGGTAACGTGTTTATATCTTTTTTGGGGAGGAAAAAAAAAAGGATGTATACATTATATATTTAACTTATAATTATTTTGTTATTATACATTTTATTGTTACCTTTTTTCCGTATATTAATTATTAATTAATATATAATTAAAACATTAATTTAATCATAAACGATTGAACTATAGACCAACTATTGAAATATAAATTAGTACTTTGACCGACTCAACGGTCAGTCCAATTTTAACACCTTGGCATTTGAAGATTTTTTTTTATCCTTTAATTGTTCTGTCATAATTTTATTCATTCTAATTTTAGAATAACCAGACAGAGTTAATGATAGAAAATATACAATAACGATTTCTTTAAAAGAAAACATTACTACTTTAAATTGCACAACATTCATAATGACTCTCGCCAAAGTGTTGAAAATTTTCACAAACCATCTTATATGCTAACAACACATTTTTTTTCTAGCTCCAATTCATCGTGTAACGGAGGGTTAAAATCTAATTTAATAAATTATAAATGTTTATTGATAAATAAATCAATTTATTTCGTTTTCGCTCACACTAAAGAAAATGGTGCTGCAATATTGGCATGCTCTAATGATTAGTGATTCCTCCATGGTCTTTTTAGTAGGATTAATTTCAGAGGAGTCATAGTCGTAACTACGATCTGATCAATAATTAAAAAACAGCTCAAGGCAATAGAAAAATAATCTCCAAAAAGAAAAATTAAGCCGAAAAGAAAATACATTTAAAAGATTTTTTTTCTAAATATGAATATGTTGTGGGGCCATTATCGCCAACGTTTGCTTTGGTGAAGGCCCACTCTCTAAGCTCATTCCTTGGCAATAAAACTGGGGAATATCATTCCATTGTTAAGGTGAGGGAAAAGTACTGTAGCTCTCCATAAAAAACTGGTACAACTAACCTAATCTTCTCATTAGTTCAATTTTTTTTTTTTTTTTTACTTGAAGGATAATTTGGTCCCTTGCAATTATTTTTTTATTAAAATATTAAAGCATCCCCATCTTATTCCAAGTGAGGGTTAGGTTAGAATGCCCCACTCAGAACTCGGAAGCCAATAGCAATACTGGATCAAACCAAAATATTACTCTTGCAGCAATTTCCACTTATATAGTGTTTCTAGGGGGAAAAATCCTAACATCAAACACCTTGCAAGAGTACTCTTTTCAGATGTTTTAAGAAATTGAGGTATTCCACCCAATCTTCAGATCAAGTCAGGATTGCAATATATTTTACACTATCCTATTTAAATGGATCATAAGTGGAGTTTCTACCCCTGGACATGGGTGCCTCTATTTTGAAGACAAATCAAAATCAATTTATGTTTCATAGATTACAGACAACAAGCATGCAGTATTTATACATGGGTCCATATGCATATTAATAAGCATTCAAGCATCAGTAGCAAGGAAAAATTTGATGAAATTTCCAGCTGTTTTAAAATAATAGGAAACAATAACAATCTTGTGAATTACTTCACCAAAGGGTCCAATGATCATTTGACAGCAACGTTCATGAGACTCATATGCGGTTCACAAACCAGAGTTTTCATATCCTCAAGGCAGGTAAGATTATATATTGATTCAAACAGAGGCATTCAAAATTTTTTCATAAGAATCAAATGAAACAAACAAAATAGACATTATGGGGCAGGGTGCGCCTGCATTAGAATCTAAGTTGAATAGTAGACACCATAATAGCCCAAGTGTGCTTTGGAATCTATAGTGTGAAAACGTAAGGAAAACAAAAGGTATATAGACAAACATGAGGCTAAGATACATATTACCTTTGGCAAAATTTTATATATAATATTGTCATCTGTCAGAGTTCAGCAGGGATCCAGACCCCATCAGGTAGCAGTACATTAAAGAAAAAGGAATCATAAATTGCCTCACATCTTCCAAGTTCTGTAATCCACAACCCAAATTGTGCCATGAAAAAGTCTGACTTGGAGCGGCAGGCACCGGCATCACAGAGAGCTCAAGGCGGGTATAACTTCATAGGGCAGAAACTGTTTGAATCCTTAGTTAGCGAATTACTATCATCGAAATAATCTACTTATAGCCAATCACCTCGCCCCAATATCTGGAAGCAGTGTAAACAACAATTGATTGAGAATTCAAAAGGGAAGCATGCAACAATGGTGGTTGGTTTAGAGCTGGTGTTAAAATGGAGCAACATTATTGTTCACAAGAATGGTTTCAGTTTCATGAAGTTTGAATAAGAGCATAAAACATGGTAAAGTCTTTTGAAAGGGAAGATTGGGTAAAATTCATTTAATTGTTGTATTCAGCAAAGGTGTCTTGATTTCCTAATCCATCCTATGGTTGAAAATGAAAATAGTCTGAGGAAAATATTACCGTTACTGTTTGTAGTTGAACTGCTTTCCCTTTCCCCTGAAGCATGCTGTTCAAGGAAGTCCTGAATTGTTTTCCAGTAGTTATCGCCACCAGCTAGCCATGTGTCCATATGCATGCCAGTAGGAAATTCCACGAAGAGACATCGATTATTACGAGCAGCTGCCTTGGCATAGAGAATTCGCATATGTGATGGTGGGATCATCTCATCTTGCAACCCCGAGAGAAAAAGGATGGGCTGCTTAACCTGGCATTAACATAGTATTTAGAAAAAAGGTGAGGCCCAAACTTGCAAATCCAGCAAGAGACACATAAAAGAAAAATGGCTTGGAAGCAAAACATTGAATGATACTTTTTATTGAGATAAATAAGAAATTCTAAAATCGAAAATCAGCATCCTCCATGGACTTGAGGGGCTTTAACCTCACTTCTAAACCTCGCAAAAGCAAGTGAATAAATGCATATCTTATACATACAGGAGAAATATGAAAATGGAAGTATTCCTCACCTGGCCAACAATCTCAGCAGTATTCCATGGAGAGCGTACAAGAAAATTGAGAATTTTAAGACCTTTAGAGCTGCTTCCTCCAATAAACCACTTCAGAAAAGGTAATAAAACACCAGCCATATCCAATATTGATGTAAAAGTATTCTCCAGTATCAGTGCCGCAACCTATGATGCAGAAAGAAGGCCAAAAATATTTGTAAACTACAGGGGCATGAACAAGCTCTTGTTGATAATAACAAGGAGGGATGAATCTAAAAAGGTAGGATCCAAGATTGCATCAGTCCTTTGTTTTCATGACTCGCTCAATGGTAAGTACAATATAATGAATACAAAAAAAGAAATGACGACTGTATGTTAAACTACTCAAGTTGAATATATTCTGAAAGTAAAGTTCAAAATGAATACTTCCCTAAAGACCAAAATGCTAGTAAAATACGTCATGATAAAAACTCCATCATAAAGTAAAATGCTCACTGGTTGGCAAAATGATATTTTTAAACAACAGAATGATGAATGACATTTAAAGATGATACTGTTAGTGCCCGTACAACTCTTTCATTTGTTAGTTTATTGCAGGGTGGGTGTTGGCACCCCCGGGGGGGGGGAGAGTGGCAGGGTAAGAGGAATAAAATTTCTCAGATAATCATTAAACAAGTCATGAATCCATATAAAACTATAAAAATCCTGCAATTCTATGTCAGAAACCTGGCTGGACCTACTTGATAGAGAATTGCTATAAATCCATATACAGCTATAAAACTCTTGCAGTTCTATTTCAGAAACCTGGTTGGAGCTACTTGATAGAGAATTTCCATACAATTCCCCTTGTCAATCTAGCAGGGTATAAGTAAATAGTAGCTTAACATATCGAGATTCAGAGTGATGACCAAATTCCCACACTACAAATTGCTGTCAATGGCAAAAAAGTAAACTAAAAACTCACGAATCCTGAAATGGCTACAACAAAAGAAAAGTGCAAAGTTTACTAGACAGATACCTTATCAGGGTTATTTTTTGCTAGCACAGCTCCAACAGCGCCGCCAAGTGACCTTCCAAATACAACTATTCTAGATGTGTCAACATCGTCCCTTTGAGAAAGATGGTCTAATGCAGCCTGAGAACAAAGAGGTTATTCACAATGGCAAACATCTATGAGAAATAGATTGACAACTGAAATAAGGATATCAATAAATTAAGCATGCCTGTGCACACCTGAGCATCCATAGTAATACCATGCTGTGAAGGATAGCCATCACTTGCTCCATAACTGTTTTAGTCCAATGATATATTAGTACCAATCTAGAGAGAAAGTTGCATGTGCATTTTAGAAGGCATCAATCTGTTAAAGATAAGGTGATGAAATAATAACATTGAGGTACTAGCACATACCCTCGGTATGAAAGCATGAAAATATTGCAATTTAACCGCTGCAACATTATGCGCACCATTTCAAGACGATGAGCAATATCTAAAAGCCAGTAGTCAAGGCCTCTAAAAAGCATAATGAACCTGATCAAGTGAAGATGTATAGATTAAAAATAAAAAAGCATATGAAGGATACTTCCAGCATTTTCTTGGAAAAACAAAATGGTTGGACCTGTAAATGAAACATGAGGATATAAAACCTCTAAGAACAGCATCTATTATAACAGTAAATTGATGAACATACAGAAAGTACCAAATGGTTCAATTAACAGAAAACATACCAAACGCAAAAGCTTGCATCATGGTGCATTTAGATCTAATTACATCCAAGAATTTGTACTTTCAAACGTTGAACATTAATTTGTTCCTTCTGTTGTTCTGATCACTATTGGCCTATTATTCTATGACTAGTTTGTAGCCTATTAAATTAGCACCGCATTATCCAAAAGAGGGAAGAAAACTAAATTAGAACAGTCAAGGCGGTAAGTTTAGACTGCATAGTTATAAAAGTGACGAAAATAAGACCTTCAACCAAGTCTTTTGATGCATAAGACGAGAAGATGTGACCCAAGACCATAGGTCACTGACACAGTAAGTATTATTTAAATTCTAAAAGAAGCACATGTAAAAGGGAAGGGAATCCAATTTGAGATTATTCCATTTAACCAAACGCAACACAGCCTGCTTCATTTAATCAACAGCAGTCCACCCCAAAACTTTCATTCCAAGAAGATACTGACTTCCCCATATTCAGTTAACTCTGAGAAATAAAATGCCAAATAGCACATCTAAGTTTCAAATGCACGCCCAAAACAAAGCAGACGCTAAATCATTTACCCAGCTAAAACTACAACAAAATAAGCCAGATATCTCTAACCCAAAGCAAATTTCAGAAAAATGTAAATCCAAATCGATTTGTATTAATTTAGTCGAGCGCGAAACAACCTAAATCCTGTATCCTAGCCCCAAATTGAGCTCAAAGCTGACAAATTTAAAGTAGGCTAAACTTCGTATCCCCAGAAGGGCCAAAATCCACATCTTAACTCCCTCAGTCAAGAACATTCATTTCTTCACCAAACCAATCAGAACGAAATTACTTAAATTGGCAAGGCGAAACAAAAGGTTTGGCAAAAAAAAAAAAAATTGAACCCAGTGAGTCAGTCAGATCAAACCTCGACACTCAGGTAAGAGCTTGATGAACCAGGCGTGAAGACGCACGCCATCGGAGGATCTGAGCCAGATGTCCTCGTAAGTGAGCCTGAGGCGAGCGGGAGTGATGGCGTAGGATTTGGTGAGGCCAGGCACGACGGGCACGTACACAAGCTTCTCCTGCAACGCCACCAGCAATGCCATACCGGCCACCACTAAGCCCCCAACTCCGTACAGCAGAATGTTAACATAGGAAACCATTCTCTGATTCTTTCCAGTCTATGGCGACGTCGTAAACCACGCACTTTATTCTCACCTCGTTTTGTGGCAGAAGGGGGGGAAAAAAGGGCGTCTGTGTTTGTGTTTTTGTGAAAGCAAGGTGAGGAGAGAAGAAATTGAGAGGGATTGGAGTTTGAAGCTGATTTCTCGGGAAACGTCAAGCGAATAGGGCGAATTCGATGGTATTTGTGGCCTCGCAGGATCAAAATTCACGGCAGAAGATTAATAAAGTCACACTTTCTTTTATGAAAGAAAAAATTGAAGGAGAAAGTTCTTAGCTTCTTAAATAGTTTTAAGGTTTGTGAATTGAAGAAAAGCTCAATTTTGATGGTGAGACTGAAGAACATGTTTAACTTCGACAATTAAACATGTTAAACTGAGATCTAGTTGGTACTTTAATGTACTGATTCTAAAATGAATGAAATGAAATAGTTATTTTTTTTCTTCTTCTGGGGCTAAAGAATGTAATAAATACTCCTCCGGTCCTAATTATAAGACCCAATTGATTTATTTGAGGAGATTAAGGAAGTAAGTTAAGTTGGTTATTTATAATAAATAAGTGTTGTTATTCCTAAAATATCCTTGCTAATTAAGTATATTGGCTAAAACTATCATTATTAGAAGGATTATCTTAGAAAACAATGCATAAATATAAGAAAGAAAATGGATTGGGTCTTATAATTAGGACCAAATAAAAAGTCAAATTGGGTCTTATAATAAGGACCGGAGGAGTAATTAGCTTACCGATTGCTGCAAGAAAGCCGAAAATACAAACTGTCATATTCATTTATCTTATACTACTCCGGTTCTTAATATAAAGTCTTGTTTGATTTTATATTGGTCTTAAATATAAGACCCCAATCTATTTTTTCTCTCATATTTACTTAATTTTTTTAAGATAGTCCTTCTAATAATTATAGTTTTAGCTAATATACTTGATTAGTAAGAATATTTTAGGAAAGACAATAAATATTTATTACAAATAACTAATTTAACTTCTTTTCTTAATTTCCTCAAATTAATCAATTGGCTCTTATAATTAGGATCGAAGGTAGTATTTGACATGTTTGTGCATTTCAAATGAGAATTATTGATTGTAGTTTTGATCTAATTATAAAATGTATTTCCCAATTTTTGTAAAAAAGAGTTCATTCACAGCTTGTGAAAAGACCAATTCATCATGTATTTTTTACATCATTAATTCTCATGCCGGTAGTACTCTCGCTTCGCTTAGCTATGTTAGCTACAATTTTAGGAATTGAATTCTCTTTTTTTTTTTGTGAGAGTGTCCAATCCTTTTTAATCGCTAAACCCACAGTACAATAGGTAATTCATCATATATTTTTAAATACATAAAAAATTTCTAAACAAAATTAAAATCATAATTTTCGAGCAAACAATTTGGCTAGTTCTACCCCTCAATTTCCCTAAACTAGACTTTTGGATTTTTCAACCAATTAATTTAACTTTTTGAATATTATTGAAGAAGTATTAACATTCTTTTTGGGAGTCTTGGAGGGGGGAAGGAATAAGTTATTTTTTGACATACTTTCTATATACATAAACATACACATTCTTTATTCATCTAGAAAGAGTATATCTCCAGGCACCTAGACAGATAAATATGTATGATGATCTTCTATTGAGAAATATGTACGTTGACCCATGTTCATAGATAATCATACAAATTAATCATGTGTCACAAACCATATCTGAATTGGTGACATGAGAATTTTCAATCCTGTGCTCTACTAGTTGAGCTATCCCGACCATTCACGATGCATTATCCTCATTTTAAGAGATTATTTAAGTATATATCAACTAAAAAAACAATTTAAAAAGTTTGATCCAAGCCCTATAATTTCTTCGATCTTCCAAAATAAAACTTTGTTTAGTTTCATTCAAAGTAATGATATGTGTTGTTAATCAGTTAAATGAGGATAGTTGCTCCAGCAGCAATGCCAGCCATTATGTTTAGATGAAATCCTAGGTTATATTTGTGTACGTATGTAGGTTAAAGTTTAAACTATGTAAAATTAAAAAAAAATCATGATCTTGAATATATATATATATATATATATATATAATGTAATTGGAGAAAACTTCTTACCCATTTGACATTTCATAGGATTATGTTCCTTATTTTTGGGAAATTATATGCATGATTTTCTGACACTATAATAGTTAGTCAAATATAAGATTTTATATTTAATGGTAATAAATTAATTAGCACAATTTAATAAATCATTCTAAATATATAAGTTTCTGAGACGGTAATTATGCATTCCTTGAATTTTTTTTTCCGGTGAAGTTCTTGATTCTTTTTTAATTAGACCGTCACGTCAAGTTAATATCAATGTTTAGAATATTGTAATAAAGTAATATATATATATATATATATAATGAGCTTTATATTATCCACAAGTTATAAATAATGTGATTCATTTTTATATTTTATATAGAGCCAGAGAAAATACAAAGAATTTAAATACATGCATATTCTTTTATGTGCTTATAAATTAGGTTGAGTTTAGAATCCAAGGAGTTTTAAAATAAAAAATTATTGACCAATAAAAAAATAAATTGAGGTATTTAGCAAAGCTGTTAGATTCGGAGCATTTATTAGTGATGAAGTTTAGGACCGTATCAAGAATAAATTCATGCAAGTAAGATTTGAAGAATTACTATAGTTAATTATTAATTTGAATATGACTTAAGAATATAGAGTTGTTGTTGTTGTTATGTTTAATATTCTTTTCTCATTATTTGGCGATGCCTTTCTGCGAGGAAGAAAGGATTATATACGTAGCACTTCTTCGGTCTTTAATATAAAACCTATTTAATTAACTGATTAGATTAAGAAAGTTAGGTTAAATAGGTTTAATTATAAAAAATGTAATATGTTTTCCCTAAGACACCATAATCATCTTTCTTAATACCATACTCCCGCTTCTACTTGATTATGATTGAAGAAATATATAGATAGAGGTATTTAGAGAGAAATTGATAAATATAAGAAATAGGTTTTATATTTAAGATAAAAACTAACTCACACAATTGGGTCCTATATTTAGGACCGGAGGAGTATATAAACTTCTTTTCTTTCTGTGTGAATATTAATTATTATTTTAAAAAATTGCAGTTAGTTCACTTTATCTATAATTATTTATTTTTTTTTTTACAACTTAATCCATATGAATACTCCTAATCATCTCATACTTTGAAGCCTGAAAATATGTGGTTCAATAGTTCCAACCCAATATACTTTGGAGGGACTCTTTCCCCACAAAAACATAAATTTGGTTCAGAAGACACTAAAAGTTGGCTAAAAATATATTCTTTTCGGTTCTAAATATAAAATTTAGTGAAATGATTTTTTTTTCTGGACTTAAATATTTGTTTAATCTCCCAAAATTATAATTTTTTTTTTATATAAAACTCTGCTTATTTAATTGTACCTATCAAGAAAAGTTTTTCATGAAGAGAGTAATTTTCAATATAAATGAAAAAAATATTTTAAAAAATAACATATTTTAATGAGATTTTTTTACATTTAAATAAAAATAATATGTTAAATATTTGTGCTGCATGGTTACAATTATTCCTAGCATGCTGCATGGTTACAATTATTCCTAGCATTTTATGTGATTTTTTTTTTTACAGGTATTTTTTTATTAGAGATAATCATGCGAGAAGAAGCATAGTTAAAAATTTAAGCACCATGTGGTACTAAATGTGATGTTTTACCTAGTAATGACTATTTTCTAAGAAAATGTATTAATTAAGGGTATTTTAATGAAAAAAATTTAATACGAGATAAATGGATGTAGTTTTATGAAATTCAAAAGGACCCATTGTTCAGGATAAGAGGGAGTTATTTATAGCGACGTTTTAAAATCTTACCAATAAATTATCTTTTAAAAACATAATTTATCTTTTTTGTTTAAGAGCGGCGCCGGCTGCTTACCTGAATTCTCATTTAATAGAATTCTCTGGTGAAAAAAATAAAAAAAGCTTTGTATAATTCTCATTCTAAATCTAAATAAAATAAATGTGGCCCCAAAAAAGAATAAATAAAATAAATATGACATATGTAGACCCGATAAAAGTAAAAATTGGACTGTTTTTTAAGTGTGTGATGGGGACCCTTTTTTTCTCTG